TAAAACTCTTTGATTCACAAGAAACGGTTACAGTTTATTGATTACGTTGTATTTAAAATTACATTTACAATAAAAAATTTGTATAGATTTTTGTTATGCGAAACGAACAGTTTTAGAATTTTCGATTCAAATCAAATTAGTTTTTTGAATATAATCGAAGAGACCTTTGTCCTTTGAAATACTATTACGAATCAAATGAACTTTATAATTCTTAAAATATTCAATAACATCTAACTTATTAAATTCTCCCAATATCTATCGATTATATGGAAATTCATTTAGTTACGTTGCCACCCTATTTTTCATTAATCTACGTCAAACATCCATTTCCAGATATTTGCTTATTTGTAATACATTTTTACCAACTGAATCACCCTGTAGCTTGATACTTGTATATTCTGCTCAATCATGTACCTATTTTGAGCTCAAGATTTTAAAAGTACCATGCGTAAGATTAATTATGAAAGCAATTATTACTTTAAGTTTCAAATTATTGTATAATAGAAGCACATGAATAACATACTAACTCTATTACATATTAAATGGACACAGCTGTTCAATGTCTAGCCCTTCAGTACGGCTAAATTGGCAGATAGCAATTCTACAGGTATTATGAAAGCAAAAGCAATGCCGTATTAGGCGAAATAAAGTTTGTAGCTAATGATGTTGGTCTTAGCTATTTACTAGATATTGTCGGGAGAGTAGTTGTTTCCCACAATATAATTAGTTGCAATAGCTGTATCCATGTTTTATTAGGAACTGAAATACGGACTGCTGTGATTGATCACGAGATAATTCTGCTTTCTTGTAGACGATGTTATTTTTTATTTTTTCGTAATGTGACGTTTTATAACCAAGTAGATATTTAACGTTCCTAAAACAAAAACAGTAAATTTTCTTACTTAATGTATATGTAGAATACCTGACGCTTCTGAACAGGATATGAAAAAATGTTTAGCTCATTGTTTTCTAAATATTCTAATCGTAATTATGCAACAGTCTTTAAATGTTATCAATTATGAGTATTATACATATAATAATATAAACATGTCATAAATAATCTGGTAAACTGTTATATATAATTTACACAAAAATAATATTAATGGAGCGTTATCTGTGATAATGCAAAAATTAAAATAAAATTTTGAGCATAGCAACAGTGAGTAAAGATGTTAATATTAAGCATGTATTACTCAACAACTGTTTTACACCAACTGTGGAAGAAAGTGGGTTGGTGGGATCAATTTTATTTGTGTGCACTCTGGGAGTAATTTGATTATGTGCATACTTATGTCTAATACTGGAATTACGATAGTGACTTGATTACTATAGTATCGACAAAACAGATGCAACAAAACAAAACGTAACGTAAAAGAAACGCAAATTTCTAATATTTATTATATAAATTATAAAAGTACGTGGCAGTAATCTGCATGATTGTTCCAATCTTCCAACCAAAGTGTTTATGTCTCTTAAGTTTTTTTTATCTTAATGCGTTTTTAAGTATTTAATTGTAACAATTCTCATCCCATCTTTAAGACCGTGGAAAATACTTCATACTTTTAACAGTAGTAGTACTTCATCATAAGTAGATAATTTGTTATTAACTCTATTAATAGTCTAATTTTTAATTAATGTAGTAATGGTTTTAAAAGCATTTACCAAAAACAAGTAATCATATACATTCTAGTGTTTGTAAAATTATGGTTTTTAATAAAAAGCTTTTCTGTTTTAAGAGTAATATCCCCGTAAACTATGTACAAATATTTTACCAGTTTCTCTGAAGTCGATAATATTTATTTCTTCGAGCCTTTGTTAAATATTTTTAACAGTTTCTGTGAAGTTGGAAATATTTATTTCTCTGAGCCTTTGTCAAATATTTTCTATAGATTTAATGTGTTTATTGGACTTGATAACGTGGAAAACCCCAACATATTTGAACATATTAATACGGTTTGGTATATAGTTTTAAAAGAACTAATCACAAAAGAAGTAAACATATACATTCTAGTTTTTGTATAATTATAGCTTTTAATAGAAAGACTTTTAATTTTAAAAGTAATCTCCGTGTAAAATTATTTTTATCGCTTTCTCTGAATATATTTAATGTTTTTATGAGATTTGATGACGTGAAACCCCCAACATATTTGAACATACAGTTTGATACACCTATATTTTACATTATGTAACTTTCTTATCTTTTCAGAAATGGCACCAGCTTACAAACTTACATATTTTGACGTTACCGCCCTTGGAGAACCTATCAGGTTCCTTCTGAGTTATGGAGGGATTGAATTTGAAGACATCCGCATTAGTCATGAAAGTTGGCCCGCTCTAAAATCGAGTATGCATTTAAATATATTACAATTACCTAATAATTAAAACAAGAGACGTTTCGCTCATTCATTTCTTCCTGTGTAAATCTAACAAATGTCTGATTTTTTCTGCACTTTTACTGAAACGTTTTTTGCAGAAGACTTTGAATACGCAAACAAAGTTAATTAAAAATGATCTTTCGCGAAGGTATCTTAATATATATTTATACATGCAATCTCCAAATGCTAAACTAATCATCATCTTTTCACCTTTTTTACGTATTTTGTGCATTAAAATATAAATCAGTTACAATGACATGTAAAAGATGCAGTGGCGTAGGTTTTTTTTGTAAAAAAAGGGGGTGACCCCTGTCCAGTTGTACTGTACACCGCTGGTTGATCCCTTAAAGCTCATATTTCAGGGAATATAAGGCCTACTATCATACATTATATGTACCAAATTTTATTGAGATCGGTTAATAGATTTCGGAGATATAAACAAAAAATCAATTTTTTTTTGACAACTTCAACACCCTGTAACTCTAAAACGGTGCCGTTCCAGACCTACGTTTATGAGGCAATTGCCTATTATTTTAAAGAGATCTATCTGCCCTCGAAGTTTCCTGCATAAAATTCGGACTACCCTATATAAAGTAAAATGTGCAGAGAAAACTAACAATTAATGTTACATTGGGACATACCATTCCACCTATTGAAATAATATGTCCACTATCTTCAGTTTAGTGAATCACTGGAAAAATAACGATGATTTCAGGTACGCCATTTGGACAATTGCCTCTTTTGGAACATAATGGAAAAGTAGCATATCAAAGTATAGCCATTTCTAGATATGTTGCAAAACAAGTAAAGCTGGTTGGTAAAGATGATTGGGAAGATTTGGAAATCGATGCAACAGTTGACACGATTACTGATTTACGTATAAGTAAGTTATATTTACATTCTTTTTTGTGGAATAGAATATACACTTGTTTTTACAGATGAGTCGTAACTTCAGGAGGTTGTTCCTGAGGTTATTGTTAACTAAAAGCCTTAACGATTGCAAATACCGTCTTTAAAATATAGACCTCACATTTGCTTCATTATTTTTATTTTATTCATCCTGTACCTAATTGTAAATGACAGATAATCCGGGCGAATTAGACCAAACACATGGCTGTTTCAAAAATCGGGCCTAACTCGAATTTTATAGACTTAAAATTAAGTAAAAAATACACAGGATAAAAACCTGAATTTGTGTATTTGTAGAGGTCGAGCGTCATATTGTTTATAACAAAAGAAAAAAAAATATTGCTCTTTTTTCAGTTTTTCGCTTATATCTCCGAAAATAAGCCTCTAATCGACATGAGGTATTCTTGTTGACTTTCTTGCTGGGGAAATTTGCTACATTGCAAAATTAGCAGTGAAAAAAAAAAGTGCAAAATTAGCAGTGAAAAAAAAGTGCTAAATTTTCAGAATTAAATAAAAAGAACTTTGACTGAAATTGGATAAAACTACAGGAAAAGGGTGCTCAAAAAATACCCGGAATTCGGACCCCGAATTTCAAAATGGCGGCCTATTGCAAAATTATAAAGTCGAAAATACGAGCTCGTATATTTTCTGCCCAAGTCAAGATATCGAAATTTTGTAGAAAAGGTTCGAAAGGTAATTACATTATCTCGCGTCTGTGCAAATTTCAGATTTTTAAGTTGTAAAATAAAAAAGTTATTAAACTTAGCTCGGCAATTTTTTAATATACAAATTTATACAAAAATCGCCTCGATCCGACCAATAGGAGCCGAGATACATATGTTTTCTTTAAATGGTATTTTGGCTGTTCTATTTAATATTTTGGAATAAACTTGGTCTCGTCGTAAAGTAGAAGACTTCCTTTATATGCTGAATTTTTTTTTAATGGATTCGACCAAGAAGTGACCAAGTAAACGTTCATAAAAGACAGCGTGATCCGCCGCGGCTAACCGGTAGTCAGGAGAGGGGAGCGCTGTGACGTCATAGTGCCCATGCTGTGCTCGACTTCTCAAAATTCTTACTTAACAAACGGATTGTGGCACTTAGAAAGCAAATTTAGTAAAAGAGACAAGTATTCTTACTGACTGATTTATTTAGTTGATGTTTTCATATGTCGTAATTTCATGTCATTTATTTTCTACATATTTCAAAATCTTTTAAATGTGCAGCATTGCTGGTGGTCTTAAGATTTGCCGTAATCTTAAAACGCGAATTTCTGGAATTGCTTAATTTATTTCTTTATAACTTATTCTGTCATACATTAGCTACGGGATGGTATACATCTCACAACTATTAAATTTCACTGAATTTTTAATATACAAGTCCACATTGTTTCGATCTACTGTTCTATCGAATGACATATCTGATACGACTTTTATTTCAGAACTCGCTCAGTACAGTTTTGAAACAGACGAAAAAGCTAAGAAAGAGAAAGAAAAGTCTATATTAAATGAATCTCTTCCATTTTACTTAGAAAAACTAGATGCTCAAGCTAAGAAAAATAATGGTTACTTTGTGGGTGGTCATGTAAGTATCAAATGAGGTGAACCTACGTTCACTTTATAGGTATCAGTTAAATTTTGTAATTCATTAAAACAAGATTTGAAATGAATTTTTAATACTTCTTGCTGTTATAATCAATTTTCTTTTATATTTCAGTTGACATGGGTTGATCTGCTCTTTACGGCATCATTAGATTTTATTAATTTTATGGCAAAGAAAGACATCATAGCGAATTCTCCGAATTTACAAAAAGTCAAACAAAATGTTGTGAAAATACCCAACATTAAGGCTTGGTTGGAGAAAAGACCAAAAGATACCCTACAATAATTTTTCTCTCTTTTGTATTTTCAAAGCCACGCATTAAATTTTGACTTGAAATGAACTTAAGAGTGTTTTTTTTTTATCGTCAATAAAACAGTAATCATGTGTATGACTTTTATTAAATAATACTGAACATTCCATTCCGAAACTTGCCCAAACGAACACTTTGGTTTTACTCAGAGTAGCATCACCGAAATATGCTTGGAGTCTCTTTTTTTCACTCGATGTCACACATTTTTGTTGGCGAGAAAACGAATAATAACGAGTCATAGCGATACTGAAATTGCGGATGTAAGTGTGAGGGTCGTGTGCATTGCTATCCCCTGTCAATTCTCCCATCACCGATTTTCCGCTGCTCTACGCTGCTCACGTAGTTTCGAGAGTCAAATGCACAAAATTCCGGTTTATATTTGATTCATCTCCGTAATTGTGTGAAAAATATGAACAGAATTATTCAAGCAAACTATTTCGTGTTTTTTGTGTTTTTACAATTCATGAATTAAAAATAGAATTTAAACAAAACTATATCATCCACAGAATTGAAGTAGATCTATCTTGATAAATGTTGTGTTTAAAAAATTAAATGTCTTAGTAGAAATGTGCCAAACAAATTTTTTCCCGTTAGTTAAGGAACTAATTATCCTTTAAAACTTTTATCTACTTAGATACAGGCTTTTAAATATACTACTAATACTACTCTAAAATTGTTTTAAAAAATTGGTGTTCTACATGCTCTATGTCAAACTTTGACAGATGGTAGCTGGGTAATTTCAAACAATTTCTCTTATATGAACATACTTAAATCCGATTCGTTTTTGTTTAGTTACAAGAATTTTAAAAAACACAATTTCATACTTGAAAGTAGCCTGATAAATAAATATGATGGTTACTATAACAATAATTAATCATTAGTAAACCTTTATTATCTAAATTAACAAATCTTAAGACTAAAAACATTGTTCAAAATGTCCACTCTCGGCTCGAATGCAAGCCTCACATCGGAGAACTAAAGATTTCATCACTTGAGGGAGACTTGGATCATTTCTTATCTAGTTAGCTGCTAACTGCTGGCGGGTAGTGATTTCAACATAGTAGAAAAGCTGCTTCATATGTCTCCATAAATAAAAGTCCAACGGTTTTAGATCTTATTATCCATTTATTCGGGAAATGATCATTTAACCAAGCAGTCTCCCTTTATGTGGTGGTGCACCATTGTGCTGATACCACATATTTTGAACAATATTCCACCATACGTCATCAAGAAGATTGTTTTCCAAAAAAGTTCTATACAGATCTGCCTTTAAAGGATTGGCAGATCATCATTTTTTTAAGCGAAGTCACATTTTTAGACGGAGATGGAATCTTTTACCTTGATTTATGAAAATATGGCTCCAGATGTGTGATTCATGAAGGTGAGATCAACCAGCAATCCTTATGATGCCAAATTTTACTGAAATCGGTGGATTTCAAAAAAGTACACCCGCCATATTGGATCAGCCATCTTGAATTTTTACAATGTGAATTCATATTCGTAATCAGCGACCCAAAAAACCCCTTTATACAAAATCTGGTCAAAATCCGCTCAGAATTTGAAAATAGCGATTCCTGCTCGGTTTTTTGAGGTTAGAAAAAAAACCACACGTTCTAGCTCAATTCTGACAGTGGATTTGAATTCAGCAGAGTCTTTTACATAAAAATGTACTATTTGATGTGGAAATAAATTTTTTTCCAAATTTTCCCAGTAAATTTTCATCAATTTTCACTATTTTTCACAAGTTTTTTGAGGTTAGGAAAAAATTGTGACGTGATGGGCCAATTCTGACCCCAGATTCGTGTTCAGGAGGCAAAATTACTACGAAAAATATATGTCGCATAAAAAGTATACCCAACTTTTTTTTTCTGTGTGGCTGTGTTATTATTTATGCCGTCCATAGTAAAACACACTTCATCAGACCGCATGACAAAAGAAATGCTCTATCATTTTGTGCAAGTTAGTGAAGTGACCTGCGACAAAATTCTAATCGCTGAGGAGCATCTCCAGCATGTAACGCTTGTACACTTTAGATTATGAAACGGATGTAATATTTCTCTGAATACACTCCATACAAAATTCGATGACAAATGAAGATTTCTTGCTATACGCCGAACACTAGTTGAAAATTTGTCAATGACAGCATCTATTATATCTTCTTCATTTTGGACATTCACATGGAAGTCTAGTAATAATGCACTAAACACTGTGTGGGCAGGTTGAAGTCTATTTGGGTATCTTCATCGCTATTCTCGGGCTGCTTGTCTGGCGTTCCCGTTGGAATATACAAACACAATATCTGCATACTTTTCAATTATAAATAAATGCATTTTCTATTTAGCATTTTAACGCTAAGTGTCAAATGAATAAACAAAATGACACAAATAATAATTATTGTTATAGCAACCATAATTTTTATATATTAGGGTACTTTGATTGAAATATGAAATTATATGTTTGAAACCCAGCTACCATCTGTCAAAGGTTGTCACAGAGCTTGTAGAACACCCTGTATCGTGGTCTTGGAGATATATTTGTCGAACGAATTATAATGATTTAGTTCATAATCCAGGGCCTGTTGAGGTTTGTTTTAGAAGCATTTTTGTTGAAAAACCCCTTATCCAATTGAATTAATTTATAATGTAGAATATGCTTTATACCTAAAATTTAATTTATGAAGTTTCTGGTTGAATTTGAAAATCTACGAAATTTTGGAAATGATTCAAGTTGATTATAACGTAAATAATAGACATGACCAAACATTTTTCATTTGTCGCTCAGCAGTGCCATCAATTGGCTATTCTTTCAGCCAGCGCCGGATTAACCAGGGGGCTAGCGGGGGCCGTAGCCCCGTGCCCCACAGAGCCCCGGGCCCCACAGGCTCCGGGGGCTCCACATGCTATTGGAAAAATTAAAAAAAAAACAGAGTAATGAACGGTAATAAAAATACTTAATGACAATTCCTAACGCTATTTTTTACCTGAACAAATCATTTTCATCGGAAATGTATGTTGTATTACATATAAAATTTAATATTAAGAAAATAGCATACTAAATTAATTTAAAAGGACTTTTGCTTCCACATAAAGGAAGTTTTGTGATGGTGTCCTTATAAGGGCTCCTTCCCTTCAAGCCCCAGGCCCCACCGAGGCTTAATCCGGCGCTGCTTTCAGCCCTAATCATTTTCAATAACTTTTAGATTTTTAAATTCAAATTGAAGCATCACATCATGAAAATTTTAATTTTGTATACCAAATTATTATGCTTTATAAATTAATGAAATATAATATACGGGATTGTATGTAATAAGGCTACGTAGCCAGATTATTTATAAAAGAAATGCTTAAAAAGTTACAGTAAGCCATAATTTATCAACTGTATCCTCATAGTTAGTTCAGAAGGCAACTACATCGTGTAGATATACCCTACATAATATCTCCTATACACAAATCTACATCACTACTCTATTATCATCTGTCATTCAAATTGTCCGTCCTAAAAAAATTTAGATGGATGTTATAGTTTAAAAACACATACTGCATGTGGAATGCATCATTTACAATTTAATGTTGTTGTTATTGTGCTGATAATACCTACAAAATTGATTGTATATGGTCGGTCGGCCTGATCTTTTTATTAACAAAATTTTCCTGAATTGGAACAATATACTTAAATGTAATAAATAGAAATATGTAGAATCATTGCACAAAGAATGACGTACATACATATCAGCATATCTTCTCTGGAGAGCTTTCCTCTCTCCTTATCTCTGTCAACAAAAAAATTCAGGCTTAGAGAATCATAATGTGAAATCAGTCATTTGTATATTGTCGTTGCTCAGAGGAAGTTGTGACTTTATTTTTCTACTAGTGCGAATCACTAAGGTAGGAAAATACTTTTCTTTGTGTGTCTAACACAAATTGTTCTTCGTTTTTATTCAAACATAAATTTGTACAGGGTGTATTTAAATGAAGGAAACCAAATACTACCTTGATAATTTTGTGTCTTAAATATGGTAATTATATGGTACCTTCATAATCTTTTGGGGAAAATATAATAATAGCATGTTACAGGGTGCAAAGTTAAAAAAGAAACATTAAAAATACACAATAACGGCTTAAATAAATAAAGGTAAAAATTTACTGAATTTGTACACAGTCATATCAATCAGTGGCGGATATACTGGAAGACCCCGTCACTAAGAACGTCAGAATTTCGACACACCTGAATATTTTTAAATTCATACGCAATTTCAAAGATAAAAAATTTTATTCATAAAAGGAATATTTTCCTAGGTATTATTTTTCTTTTGTCTAAAATAAACTTACTTTACAGTTGAAGAAAATGGAAATAACTAAAACTGATTCACAAGTAATAGTTATAGGAATTTTATGTTACGAATATAATGTAATCGTTATGAATATAAAAATTGATGAAGAAATTTTAAATTTTCTATGGGGTAGTATGGTAGTATAAAATATGTTTTCGAACTGTTAATGATTCCGTTATAAAATTTAATTTCTAATAAATAATTCTAATAAGTACATTTTTCTTACGTGAAGCGAACAGTTTGAGAATTATTTTCGATTTATTCAACTGTGTGATAAGTTCATTTTAGATACGAAAATGATTTTTATTCGAATAAAATCGATGAGACGTTTTTTTCTTTATAGCATTTTTAAAATAATAATCAATAACATTGAAATTTTATAGTTCTTTAGGCACTTGTCTTCCAATACCTCAGCTACTGGTTCATAAAATTGTATGGAAATGAATTTTGTTATGTTGCCACCCTATGTTTCTTTCATCTACGACAAACATCTTTCGAGATATTTGCTTATTTGTTATATACGTATGTGTATTGTATATATATTTGTTAAACTTTATGACACTGAAGCTTGTAAATGAGGTATATTCTGCTCAATATAAGTAAAAATATTAATATTAAGTTCGTATTAGTCAAAAAAGATATCAGGTTACAGAATAAAAATGTTCTTAAAGAACATAGAAAAACGTATGAATTTTATTTTGAAAATTGTCTATAATTTTTGAAGTTTTGTAGTATCAAATTAAAAAATGTTTGTTTTATGTTTTTCGGCATAACAAAAATAATTTCCGGTTGTTTAATTTCTATATCTGTCTGCTTTCCAGGTATTTGCTCTTAAATGTTTCAATGCACAATTATTTTTTATTATTAGGGACAGTTTTTCTAGCTGACAGATAAATTTATACTTATATACAAATGTACATATATGATGAGATAGACATAGATTTAGTTGGCAATAAATTTCTTACACGGTGAGAAAACCAGCTCTTAAAAATATTTGCGTTTTGATATATGGGGGCTCCACGAAAACACAAAATTAATCAGATAAAAATCGCTAATGCACACCGAGAGAAATGCAATACAATGTGAATAATATTTGATAGTTGTTATTTCGAAACTGTATAAGAAATCTCCAATCGCGGTATTTATTATTATTTGTATATTTGATTGTTCAAATATACGCTGTTATAATATACTACAACTGTTTCGTTGAATAATTCTGTTATTGTTTAAAATACGTATATTTAAAACGAATGTCAAGCCGTTTTAACTGTTTACTACTACGACGTAATTGTTTACATGTAATATATAATACCACTACCGACTAATAAATGATTAGATTACGTAGTAGTAAATATTTACCGCTACGTAGCAGTAGCGCGTGTGACATTAAATTACAACTATGCAATGTATTAGTGGTGGGTTGATATATTTGAAATACAACAGGCTTTATGTATATTTAACTTAATTTTATTTAATTTAACTTTTATGTATTGTATTATACAGTTTATAGTAGTATCTCCATAACAGTTCAAATTAACTCTGATTCCAATATTTTTCTAATTGTAAATTAAGTACATAATAAGGTTTTAGTATATTTTGGTATTTTTTTTTGTACCAGTTGGTATTTATTGCTAATCCAAAGTTGGCAACACGGAATGTCAGTACCAGTACCATTCCTGTAGTTTTTGTGGATACACTGACACAGGACACCACATCGTGAAGATAGTGAATGGTGTATAGGTGTGTGTGTATGTGCTATGTACTTCACTAAGGTCTCCACAAAGACCACATGAAATCGGTACTCACATGTTGAGAAAAGGAAGTCTTGATTAATGTAATTGTAATGGAATATAATGGAAAATGGATGAAATGGAGAAATACCTGGAACAGTGGGCGTTGCCCGAGTTAATAGACACATTTAGAGGTATTTATGAATGAATTACATTAATTACTCAAATATTTCCACATCCATATAGTAAAGTTGAAATTTAGTACCGCTCAAAAAAAAACAAAGGTAATTTTTTCACTTAAACTTGCAGAAAGCTTAAATTATTATTCCTTTCCTCCTTTTTTGTAGAAAACTGTATAGATTATGAGGCTTTCAAAATTCTGAAAGAAGACGATTTAAATCAACTTGTACCAAAATTAGGACTACGAAGAAAAGTAATCCAGCGTTGGCAGGAATGCATAATAAATGTAAGGGTAATTATTTACTTTAGTGGCACCACCTCCAATTTTCACAAAATTTTGTCTACCCCCTTATTTTCGATGGTGCTGAACACGAATCTGCAGATTTTTTTGTGCGGTCGAACCTAGTTTTCGAGAAAAAAATTTTTCAAAATTCTAACCTGGATATTTCAGATAAAACTACGTAGAACTCTGTATATTTTATGTAGCTTTCCAGAACATTCCAAGGTGAGTCTTAAAAACGTATTTTTAAAGTTATAATTTTATATTAGCAACATTTAAATGGTAAGAATGAATAAACAAAAGTTTAAGGATTCTATTTTTGCATTTAGTTTTGTTCTTCATGCTCTATTTTTTGAGATTTCAGTACCTAAAAACACTACAAATACGGGTCATTTTTTGCCAGAAATATGGCCACCTTAATA